GATGCTGAGAGGCAGATGGCAAATATCGCGTCTTTGACATTGCTCAATGGGTGAGATGCATGGCAGCAAGATCCGAGCATGAACACGTCGAGTAAAGGTGACGGTCTGAGTTCGATGTCCAGGCTGCCAGGGCCATTGACTCCAATAAGTATTCAATAGTATCCTCAGCACGAACGCCAGCACCATCACCACTGTCTGCTACGGCTGCTGCTGCTACCGAGGTTACTGCGGCTACTGCTTCTACTACTACTACTACTACGACGACTACTACTACTACTACTCCTCCTCCTCCTGCTGCCGCTGCTGCTGTTACTGCGACTGCCACTACGATCACGAGTACTTAATTACAGCCATAACAACAAACATGACCATCAATGTAGGTAATTATGAAATCTCAAGACAACAGCAGTGAGCGGTGTTCACAGGATGGTCAACGTTCTCAGTCATCACCATCAACATCAGCAGCAGCAGCATCATCATCCGTCTCTTTCATGGTCACGACACCATCCGCAGCAACAGGGAGCAGCTAGAGGATTGTATTATATTCGCTGTATCGTTCCTCGCACATTGACGCAGTCTGCATGGCCTACAACTCTTGCATTGGGAGCTCCGTCTAGGTAGACGGAGCTCCAGGGTTGCAGGTGCAGGTCCAAGGTTTGGGTTCAATGGCGCCTACTTGCATCATGGGCACACCCAGAACGACATGAGATTTCTCATGGATAAGCCGCTGGGTTCGCTGCAGCTGTAGAAGGGTATCGGGGCCATTAAGAGCGTTGGCCTAGCTTCGCGTGCTCACGCATCGGTATCACCGGATCAAAGCCTGTTGTGGCAGCACACCTGCAAGGACAGTCTGAGCAATCGAAGCTTTGGGTCGACCCGGACGACATTATGCAGCACTACTTTGAAGAGGCGTGCAATGTTAGACGGCGCAAGCCGCAGCAAGACGTGCTGCATGACCAGATGGCGTGCTGAAGCATCGCTGCTCACAGAGCCGTGGCAGCATCGCATCGGTGTTGCTGAGATTTCAAGAGGTCCTGGTCCGGCAAAACACTGCAAGCAGAGCACTTCCCAATGAGTTGTGTGGAGTACTCTGACCTGTCTACTGACGTTTGCAGAGGCAGGGGTGGGCTTCAGTTTCACAGAGGCCCATAGGGGCCCATAGTGGCTCAAGCTCAGGTGCGTCAAAGGGTCAACATGGCCCACTTGATGGAAACGCGACCTAAAGTTGGTCGCTGCTTGTAGCTGGACTCATCGTAGAATCACATTGAAAGTTCTTAAACTGTTAAATTCGAGAGCAGGTTGCGCCGATGAAGAATCGCATGCAGAACAAAGGCAGTTCCTGTGCCCCAAGCTGCGCTGTCCACTGACCCCAAGCTCAGACAGCTTCTCCGACAGGGTTGAATGATTTCGCAGCCGGTGATGCCTTTTGCCGCCGACCGTGTCTTTGGCTTTTGACAGGGACATGGAGGGTCTACGCAGGGATGCAGAGCTGCAGCACTACCACGAATCCGAACCAGTTTTCCCTTCCAGCCCGAACCTCGCCACCCAGCCACACCTAAGCCACCCTCCAGGAGAAAGACGCTTGTGTCATCTTTTCATCATATGTACTGTACCTATCGTCTGACCGCAAGCCGGTCAGACAGCTGCAAGACGAAGCAGATTTTTCGCGCCAGTCTTCGTGGCGTCATGCCTCTGTCGTCACCTGTCACGGCTACAGCCGTGGAGCGCAGCACGGGGCAGATAGGTCGCGCCGCCGTCGCTGCCATGCAGGTTTCTGGGCAACGGGGTTAGGTTGGTGCATGAGGTGGTTACGGCCCGTGAAACTTAACCAAGCTATCCATGAATGCATGCAGCTGGGTTGCAAGTTGCTGTCTGTGACTTCGATATCCTCCAAAATGCAACAAGCCTAAGCCTAAACCCCAAAACTCCAAAAAACCTAAGAGCCTAAAGCCCTGCCAGGGTCTGCGGCCCAGCTTTGAAGACTGCCACGTCCTGGACCAAAAACTTGGAATCTGCGGTGTTTTCGATGGCCACCTCGGAGATGAGGCAGCGGCCTTCTGTGCAGAACGCTTCCGGGCCGGAAATTGGTGGTGAAAGTGTGATCCTATGATAATCCCTGTAGAAAAATGAGAAACTGGAACAGTTAGAAGAGCATGCATGCGTTCCAACACTTGCCAAATGATGAGAGTCACATGATGCCTTTTATGGGCAGCTCTTTAACACGTATCCCACACTAGGACGTGGATGTACCAGGATGGTAGCACAGTAGGCGAGAAGTAGGTTCTTCGAAGTCCGAAGATGTTGAAGCCGCACCTAAGGCTTGCCGCGGCATGTCTCAACCGCGCACGACGACGACGGGCTGCGCCAAGCTTTCGCCTTGTGCGATTCTGAGTTGATGGCTGCGCTTCCCAAGGAATGCGAAGCAGGGACCACTGTGCCCTGGCTTCTTTCAGCAGGTACGTAGCACCCTCGAACTGCCTCGAACCCCGGGATATGCCGATTCCGATATGTGCTGCATGCCCGACCAGCAAGATGGTATTGATATGTAAGAATGCTTGTAGCACTAGACAAGAAATTGAGGCGTGGCTTGCACAGGCTGTCCAGAATTTGCATGATAAGTAAGGGCTCACAACTCATTCAACGTTTATTTTAATGGAGTGCGTAGATGTACATGGTTCTGTTCTCCAAGAGAAGGTGCGCAGGGAATCGTAGCTCCCCACCCCAACTGAAACTGGGATACACGGCAGCATACTTGGTGGCTTGCAGGGATGAGTACAGCAGGGAGGGGACAGGCGGCAGGGGCGTTTTCTGTCTCGGAGCGGGCCGGACGTCGTCGGTACATCTACCGCCCTGGCTTTGCGTCTGAAGGGCCTTCGTAAACTTGAATCTACCGCTCGAAGCCTTCGAGTCCGAGGTGCAAAAGGTATGGTTTATTTCCTCAGACAATGTCAGACGACCGTTCGAAAGTTGAGCCGTGAGTTACTTCACCTCACCCACGTTCCTTTTAGTCTTAGTCTTTAAAAGGGCTGTGGTCACTGCCATTTCACATCAATGGTCTATGGTTTAGATACTGGGGATAGTGCGACCCAGGCAACCGTCGCCAAGATGCAGCCAAACGGCCGCGAGGATTGCATCATCGTGACGGTCGCTAACTTAGGAGACTCGCGCGCTCTTCTTTGGAGAAAATCTTCAGATACTATAGAGCACACTCGAGATCACCGTCCTGATGACAAGTCGGAGCGAGATCGCATCACAGCTGCTGGTGGCGAGGTGAATGAGGATTTCGATCCGCCGCGCATAGACGGCAAGCTGGCATGCAGCCGAGCACTTGGCGACTTCAGCTTCAAGCAGGGCCCCGGGACGGCTGCGGAGCAGAAAGTCAGCTGTGTGCCAGAGCTGTACCGCTGGACTGCCCAACGCGGCGACTGGCTTATCCTGGGGTGTGACGGAGTTTGGGACACGATGGGCAACGAGGAAGTGGTGCAACACGTGTGTAAATCCTCCAAAGATGTGGGTGACACGGTCGCTGGTGTCCTGCAGTGTTGTATCGACAAAGAGGCAGACGATAATCTCACCCTTCTTGCAGTTGAGCTGGGCTCTGTGCCGTTGTCGGAGCCCAGTACGATGGTCAAAGCTGGTGACTTCCTGAAGGAGAAAGATCCGGCTGTGTCGGAGCCCCAGCATCCTCGGCTAGAGAGATTTAGAGGTGTAGCGCGGGAATCTGGAACTTGGTGCATGTAGGGTTTGGAGTTTGGGGACCCGGCTGCTTCAGATGTAGATTTTCTAGTTTCAGATCAAGGCTCAGGCAGAAGTCATAGCTCTGGTCTTGATGTGCAGACACGGGACGCACGGCACTTAACACGCAACCCAGCCGCTTGCGAAGAGTCCGTCCTAGATTGTGGCTGCCATAACTCGGAAGAAACATCCCGAAATCTCTAGACTGGAAGCCTAAACACGCCAGAAAACGTGTCCAAACCCTGTAACCCTAAAGATCAGCTCTCCATGGTACACGGCCCAGGACCGCACAAAAAAAAAAACAGCCCAAACTGGGCCGACTCCCTAAGCCCATCCAATCCAAATGGGAGGTCCCGAAAATAAGGGGTGCCTAATTTGGGGGTTCTTAGAATAAGGATCCTACTATAGGGTACTTTTGGGGTCCTTATAATAAGGATCCTATCCTACTATAGGGTACTATATTAGGGTCCCCTAATTTTCGAAAACCCCCCAAATCCCAAACTACAAGCCCTAGAGTGCCCTCAAAGCATCGAACCCTCCCCCTGCCAAACCCGGGAAAAGCCCCTAAGGTAGGGGCCTTAATACTTAGACTAGTGTCTGGGGGGGGGGGCCACGCCTAAAACAAAAATCCTTCAGTCGAGTCCCTGGAAGTTCGAGAGTCTGAAGTCTTCAGTCCTTTCAGTTAAAGGTTTAGGGCTTTAAGGGGTTTAGGGTTTAGTCCTTTCAGTTAAAGCCACAGCCCCATCCGTATCATCGGTGCATATCAGTGCTGGAAAAGGTTCCCTTGTTCCTCTACAGCAAAACCCCCCGAAGAAGCCCTATTCCAACTATCATGGCCCCTATATTAGATTCTGACCCTTGTAGTAACACTTACAGAACCAACCCTTTAAAGGAACCCTTGAAAGGAACCCTTACCGGAAGCGTGTTCTACTTATTGACCCGAGCTACAACTTGCAGGGCTAAGCCCCCCTGCCTCAGGCTGGAGCAGCAGCTTGGACCAAACTTTAGGGTTCAGGTTCTAGGGGTTTAGGGTGTAGGGTTTAGGGTTCAGGGGTGTAGGGGTGTAGGGTTTAGGGGTGTAGGGTTTAGGCGTGTAGGGGTTTAGGGGTGTAGGGTTTGGGGTTTAGGGGTTCAGGGTTTAGGGTGTAGGGTTTAGGGGTGTCGGGTTTGGGGTTTAGGGGTTTAGGGTTTAGGGGTGTCGGGTTTGGGCGTGTAGGGGTTCAGGGTTTGAGGGTGCAGGGGTTGGCTTGGGTTGATGGTGCATACGGTTTAGGGCTTTGTCGGACGGACTGTTTTTTTTGAGGGGGTTTCCGGACATTGCGCGGCCCGAAATCGCACGACACGATTTTTTGCTTAGCCCATCGGCACCGGAGGTTCTTATATTATGAATCTCGCGATGATAATGTAGGGGCCTAAATGTTTACCAATACTATTTGGGGGGCGTCCTTACTATAACTATAGTATAATATACCCCCAAACCCTGTTCTAGTTATTAAGGCCCCGACATTACATAGTTGTGCCAACAAGTTTCCACAAGTGCAAGGCTTTGAGCACGGAGCATGAGGCTCCGGGCTCACAGCAGCTCTATCTATCCGATCTCCTAGCTCTTATAACCCTAAACCCTATTCGTAAACTCTTATAACCAAAAGGGGCGTCAAACAAAAAAGCTCTTATAACCCTAAACCGTATAACCCTCGTTCAGCGAAGGTACCAGTCTTTCTGCTTGCGCGCTGGGTACGCCATTGCTCGGGAGCAACAGCCGAAGGCACCTCCCAAAGTGGTTCTGACCGAGGCAGCAGCTCGGCTCCGTGCTACGGTTTAGGGTTTAGGGCTTAAGGTTTAGGGTTTAGGGTTTAAGGTTTAGGGTTTAGGGCTTAAGGTTTAGGGTTTAGGGTTTTAGGTTTAGGGTTTAGGGTTTATCCTAGTAGCTTCTCGTGGCGTCTTAGTTCGTGGTCGGAGAATTCTGCACTGGGTCGCCTGCATTTGTTCCAAGCCCCTGTGGGCATCATGGTGGTAGCCATGATCGTGGAAATGACAGCAGCAGGAGCAGCAGCAACAGTAGGAGTAAATAGGTCGTCCAGAACAGCAGCAACTTGAACCAATATCCTACACTGTATATACCGGGCATATGTACAATGTACAGAAACCGAAGACTTGAACCCAAAGCCCTCTTGGTTCCTACTGTAGCCGTAGCCACGCCCCAAGCTTATGCGCAGACATGCCTGCAAACCAGTGCTGTGTGCAAAATCTTGTTTTCTCTCTACGTACGGCTACCTCACCCCCCCTGAGAATGCTGAACCTTCAGCCCAAGCTAAACCCTGAACCTGACGTGAAGTTCGTACAGCGCTGACCAGGCGCGAACCCCAGCGGCGCCACGCTTCACGGCCCACGGCTACAACGAGCCGGTCGCGAACGGAAAGCCACTGGAAGGCAATGGGTTTCCGAGAGGGCTGAAGAATTTTGATGAGGGTTGACGGGTTTGGACTGGGGGCGTAGGGTTGAGGTTAGGTTTGGGGTTCAGGTCCTCGAAGTTCAGGTGCTTTGGCATGGCATAGCCTGGCATTTCTTTCCATGTGTTTCGGCTTTGTACCGAGGCTTGTCAACGAACCTGCCCCAATCGCTCGCGCGTCCCTTGGATGCACAAGAACCTGTCAGCACAAGAAGACGTGCAGAGCCGTTTCTGCCTCCGGCACCAGGACAGCCGATTGCAGGAGTCTGGTCAAAACGGAGAACCCAACCGGATTTTGTCATCAAATCCCAAATCCTGTTTCGAGAAACTTCTATGGCTTTATGGGTTTATGGCTGAAGGACTTTGGGTCAATTCACCCTAGACCTTCAAACCCTAGAGGCTCATCATCTGCCCAAGTTGAACCCGCTTGTTCACAGCTGTGCTCCTTGTGCGAGGCCGCTTGTGATCGTGGGACCCTCTGGTGTGGGCAAGGGCACCCTGATGCTCGGACCTGGCAAGTCGACGATGCTGCAAGGTTTCGTTCCAAAGCTTCTCGCGTTACCAAGTCTTTGGAGACTGTGGGGTATGGCTAGCTGGGTAAGTGCAGCCATGCGAGCACAGCTGCTGTAGAGTCGGGCGTGCGAACTAACACACTTTTACTTGATTGCAGCGCCAGCGCTTGTATGGGGCTGGTGGTGGTGGTGGTGGTGGTGGTGGGGGTGGTGGTGGGGGTGGTGGGGGTGGTGGGGGTGGTGGGGGTGGTGGGGGTGGTGGAGGTGGTGGAGGTGGCAGCAGCAGCAGCAGGAGCAGGCGCAGCAGCTTCATCGTGACCCAAAATCC